TTGTGGGTGTGTTTGTGTGTGTGTTTGTGTGTGTGTTTGTGTGTGTGTGTTTGTGTTGTGTGTTGTGTGTGTGTGTTGTGTGTTGTGTGTTGTGTGTTGTGTGTTGTGTTTGTGTGTGTGTGTTGTGTGTTGTGTGTTGTTTGTGTGTGTTTGTGTGTGTGTTGTGTGTTGTGTGTGTGTGTTGTGTGTTGTGTGTTGTGTGTTGTGTGTGTGTGTGTGTGTGTGTGTGTGTGTGGTGTGTGTGTGTGTGTGTGGTGTGTGGTGTGTGGTGTGTGTGTGTGTGTGTGTGTGTGTGGTGTGTGGTGTGTGGTGTGTGGTGTGTGGTGTGTGGTGTGTGGTGTGTGGTGTGTGGTGTGTGTTGTGTGTTGTGTGTTGTGTGTTGTGTGTTGTGTGTTGTGTGTTGTGTGTTGTGTGTTGTGTGTGTGTGTGTGTGCGCAGCCCTCTCTCTCGTCTCAGAGAGCGCGGAGGTTTGGGGGAGACGCCATGCTCAGATGTCGCACTGCGCGATTGCCGGCAGAGCCGCGCGGCACCTCGCCGCGCCGTCGCCCCGGGCCGGCCAGCATGTGAGGAGGGCCTGCTCGAGCAGGAGCCTGCGCGCTGCTGCTCCCGACGGGCATGAGACGAAGTTCAAGAAGACGGACAACGACGAGGAGTACGAGTCGCTGCCGACGTACCCGCCGAGGCCCAGCTTCAAGGCTCGGAGGGGGCCAGTGGAGGCCACGGCGTCCCTCCGGGTAAATTTTCGTCCTTGGGGGGCCGCCTGGAGGCTTCTCGTCGCCACAGCTGGATCCGCCTCGAAAGCTGGGGCGCCATGTCGACCCCAAAACAAACGACACGGGGGGCCACCTACGGCCCTCCATGTTGCGCCACGGCCCATCGGGAGCCGTAGCGTATACCGCGCAAAAACCACGCCAGATTTGCTGGTATGCGCTAGGTCCCGTGGGGCGGTAGGTGGGGTGGTGTCGTTCGCTTCCTGGTCCACCAAGGACCCCTGGAGGGGTCTGGGAACCGATTACGAGTGGATGTGGACCGGGCGGGATAGCCGCCATGGTCTCGACGGGCTTTCATCCGAAAGGCGTTCAAGAACGCACTGCGACCGGCCTCCCAAGTGGTGGTGTTCGAAGGCTGCCCGAACGATCCGTACCGCGCGAGCTCGACGCCTCTCTACCAGACGAGCACCTTTCGCTCGCCCTCCGCCAGCGAGTTCGGCGCGTACGACTACACGCGCAGCGGGAATCCCACAAGGACGGCGCCGGAGAAGCGCGAGGTAGAGGAGGAGAAGGAGGAGGAGGAGGAGAAGAAGGAGGAGGAGTGTAGAGCAGCTGCTGGGTACCAGTCGTAGTGGACCTCGGCCGCACTCATTCTTGCGATGATGAAGCCACTGGGTTTCCCAGGGACTTGGTTTGCACATCCAGGCCGTGCCGGGCTGGGTGGGCGCGCGCGGCCTTGTCTGGGATTTTGCAGTTCAATGCGGCTTTAGATTTCATCCTCATCATCATCAACATCATCATCATCATAATCATCATCAGTATTATCATCATTACCATCATTATTATCATCATCATCATCAGCATCAGCATCATCATCAGCATCCACCTTATCGTCGGCATCATCATCCTCAGCCTCGTCATCATCGCCATCAGCTTGATCATCACTACCATCGTCATCACCACGACCACAATGACATAATCGCCATCAGCGTCAATATCGAAGTGGTCATCGCTTTCGTCGTCGTCATCATCCCCGGTGCCGTCGCTACAGTTGTCTGCCAGCGTGTCTGCTCAAAGCAGGAGGTGCGTTTTCTCGCTGCGCCGTCGCGGCGCCCCTCGACCGATTCGACAGTACTGCATGGGCTGCACCGAGGGCAGCGCGGCCTGCGTGGTCCGCGACGTGGCGCCCGAGCGGTGCGAGCGCGACGGTGCGGAGTTGACGAAGGTGACGCTCGAGAAGGGGGAGCAGAATCGAGCTTTTGGGGCCCGCGTAGTCGATACGGAGACCAAAGATTTTGGTCTTATGATTGTGCGCATCAGTGCTGGAGGCGCGCTCAGCGAGTGGAACGCACGCAACCCATCGATGGCCGTGAGCCCAGGCGACAGCATCGTCGAGGCGAATGGTTTCACGGAACCATGGGCCATCATGGAGGAGATGGCAAGAGTCGTGAAAGTTGGTATGGTCGTCCGCCGCGCCCCGCCGGGAGGGCGGGCCCTGCTGGCACAGTGCAAGGTCACGGAGCAGAGCCTCCAGACAACCGCGCTTGTCTTGAAGCAGACTGTCCAGGCCTGCGACGTTTCCGTGGACACTTGCGCCATCTGCTTGGAGGACGTAGAGGCTGACGAGCGGATTGCAGGCGTCGGGAAAGGGAAGCAGCCGCCGAGCTTCCTCAGGCCCAATTTGGTCGAATATCTTGGTGAATATCGGCTCGGTCGCACCGTGAGGTCATATCCACCAAGGTCTGGATTCCAAAATGGACTTGTGGAGGCATGATGGTGGTGGATATGCTCTTTCCCGCAAAGGCCTCAAGTGCGGGCACGGGTTCCACCAGAGGTGCATAATGCGATGGTTAGGGCGCTGCGAGACGTCTGGCTGCCCGCTCTGCAGGGAAGCCGTCCATTGACGAGCACACCACGATATGTGTTTTGTTTGATATCCTTGTAGATGTTTCAGCCTTTTGCATACGTGATTTGCACGGGTTACATCTTAACAAAATCAGTTCCGGGACTGTTATGCATGTCAGCTTGAGTTTACCGACCCGTTGTGTTGATAAACAGTTTCCCATGCAATTGTCATATGTAATAGCACAGCGTGTTGTGCTAGCCATGCTGTTGGCATGAGTTCCCCTCCCGCGCAAGGACAAACCGATCCCGCCTCAGTTCTCGACCAATTGCCTTGATACATTCAGGAAATATGTACCAAAAGCAGTTGAACACTATACTGCCCGAAATAATTGGATCTGCAATTGCACCCCGTATGGAAATTCCACGCAGAGCATGCAGCACACAGCAAGGCACACAGAACGACATTGCACGGCGCCGTTCCTTGGTATGGTGCGCCACAGGTTCTGTTGTAGATTAATGATTGGCCGTTCCGCAAGTTTCGCCGAGAAGCCATTGGTTGTGCCGAGGTAGCTCCATGGGTAGCGCCATGCACCCCGCCCGACCGAACTGGGAGTTGTTCCTCTGTATCCGCTTTCGCCAGATATGGTTTTGTAGGCCGTGTGCGAACCGCACGGTGTTCGATGTTGAAGGAAAGCATTTTCTGGGTAGAACCCCATGAGGTTCGCTTCCACCTCGCGCAGAGATTTTGAGCGACATGATGCAAAAAGACCATGCGACACAGCACAACACGAGACGGCGCGACGCGGCATCGCACATGGTGTGCCGCCATTCAGCATTTCCCAACCGAAACAAGAATCGCACCAACGACACGTTCATTACACCAAATGCTGCGCCGAAGCCGCCATAGGTTGCGCCACACTTGCAGGACCACTCTTCAGGCAATGAAGACATTGTGGCGGATAGGTGTAGCGTCTGGTTTGCGGTGATCGTCGGATCGGGTTCTCGATCTATCAATAGATCGATGTTGATATCCCCCTCTACTGGTCCACATCCGAAATCGATCTCGCGTTATCACTGTTTCTCTGTATGTTGACATTATATATGTATAGAGTTTAAAATATACATAAATATATACATATGTGTACACATATGTATAGAGAGGCATGCATATATATATATATATATAGACATACAGACATACGTACAGACAGACAGACAGGCAGACAGACCTACATGCATACAAACCTAGATGTGTACAAACGTGCGTGCATGCATACATACATAGATATGCGTACGTATACACACACATATATATATATATATACATACATGCATGCGTGCATGCATGCCTACATGCATACATACATGCGTACATCCACACACATATACATACAGACAGACAGACAGACATGCATGCATGCATATATACAAATATACATACGTACATATGTACATACGTACATACACACAGGCGTACATACGTACATACATACGTATATACATGCATGCGCATATACATGCATGCAGTCTTACATGCATGTATACATATTTATATGCATGCACACACGCAAACATGCATGTCTATATATGTATATATAAACGTACACGATTGCATGCATATAAATATGCCTTTTCGTATACACACACAGACATGCCTATATGCATGTAAGTATGCATCACGTACAAACATCAATACATACATGCATACATACATACACACATACATGCATACATACATAAATACATCAGCACACAGATCCTTATAGGCACATATACATACATATCTCGGTCTCACTTTTTGTATATACAATGGCCTTCGGCCCATCCCGCCACCGTTTTTGGGCTGTGGGTCATAGGATTTTATGATATATGTTGGGATTTCGCGGGAGGCCGTTTGGAGGCCTCTTGGGAGCCGGATTGGGGCTTCTGGGAGCGTCTTGGGAGCTTCTTGGGGGTCCCTCTAGGCCCCTTGAGGGCCTCCTGGCGCCTCCTTGGGACATCTTGCCCCACAAACATTGAGAACCCTGAGGGAAATCAATGAGATTGGCCTCTCGGGCTTTGGGGCGCCTCGAAGGCTTCTTGGACCGTCTTGGGGCCATCTTGGGCGTCTTCGGCCGATCGTGCGGCGATTGCGAGCCCCCTTGGACCGTCTCGGCGGCCTTTCGAGGCCCTCTGGGCCCGGCTCGGGGCCATCCTGGGCGCGAAAAAGTCACGCGAGAAGGTGGCCCACGCCCCAGAAGGCACGCGGTAAGCCCCAAGAGATGTGTCAATTTGGGGCCGAGCCTTTAAAGAGTCTTCAGGCTTGAAGACTGAAGCTCCAGGGGATACCATAAGGGACCTGAGAACACTCCAACCACGCGACAACGATTGCACAACCCCAGGACAACCACGGGGCATCTGCGGGGCAATTACGTGACACAAGTCTCAGTATCAATTTGTTGATCCCACGATCAATCGATTCATCGATTCCAAAATCAGCACACACACACACTTATCTAGATACATATATATATATATACACGTACAGGTGCATGCATGCATACATGCATGCATGCAGACAGACAGACATACATACATGTCGATACCACTATCTGTCTACCAGCCTCACTACTGATCTACAGATGGGGCGATCACGAGACAGCCAAGGGACGACAACGGGATAGGCACAGGACAACCACAGGCCAACCACGGGACACCCCCAGGACAGCCAGGACACAACCACAAGACAACCATGAAACAGCCAGGGAACAACCGCGTGACGACCACGGGACAACCAAGGGACAACCACGGGAACACCACGGGACAACCACGGAACAACACCAGGACAGCCATGGGACAACCGCGAGACAATCTTTGGACAGCTTCGGGACAACCACGGGACAACCATGGGACAAGTACGGCATAAGCATGAAACAGCCACGGGACAACCAGTGACAACCGCGGGACCAGGCACGCCCGTTGGCGTGATTTAAGCCGAGTTGGTAAAGGAATTCGCGCAGCTCCGCTCGCACGCACGCGCGTCACGCACGGACCGGACTCGAACCTGATCTTCTTGATCGGGGACGACAGTCATGGCGCTGAAATACGGTCCAGTTCGGGTTCGCAAGGGGGCAAGGTGGTTCTTCGGGTCTGGATCCGGGGCGCGTGATTTCGCTATTGTCAACGCCTCTCACACAAGCACGTCTTCTGACCTGGCCTAGAGAGTTAGGATTGGTTGTAGGAGGCGTTGTCTAGGTCGTGCCAGAGGTCGTTCATGGCACGACCTACCGAATCACGGGTTGCCCCGCGCTGTCTGGGCTTGCCACATATTCAAACAGGATCAAAACGACATTCAAGTTTCCAAGGTTGCCATCGAGTCTTTGCCTCTTCGGCCCGCCCTTAGGACGTGGGTCGTTTGGGCCCTTTCGAACAGTTCAACTTGGGCGCCCCAGGCCCTTGCGTCCTCACCGCGCGTCATTATGACCCGTTTTGACTGGTAGATCGTGCGGGGGTCATAGGTAATAGGTTGCACCGTGGGTTGGGCACAGCTTGCTTTGCCGAATCACGGTGTGTTTTCCCACTGTGTGCAGGTTGTGACATAGGTGTTGCGCACAGCACGCCCTCCCCTCTTACGATTCGTCTTGTTCTTTGTTTACACACAAGTGTTAACGGTATTGCAGATCATGTGGCTTTGTAGGGGGTGAAATATGCTCTGGACAAAAACACGACGTATTTACCATAGAGCACATAGCGCAAATATTCTCCTGAGACAGGTAACCATGCGATGTTAGCCCGGCTCGGGACAGCACAATCCCAGCTCGTCGCGAAAGTCGTGCCTAGGTGGTTAATTGTGGCCTGTTTTTCCGCTCGTGGAGGTCATTGCAGCTCGGTCGTCCAACAACAAGCGGTGGCGCGACGCCATACCAGCTTGGGAGAATATTATTTACTTTTAGTCGTTGCACGTGCTGTGGCACGTCTGCTTGAGAGGCGCCGTGTTGTTTTGTTCTTGGAGGTAGATTATGTGTATATCATTCGCCAGCCGCTACACACCTAGACTTGACCGCAGGTTCTTGTCGGGTCGACGCGGCGGCAACCCCAACGCGGGTATGCAAGGTGGAGCATCGCCACTAGCCCAGATTCGGCCGATATCGAATGATCTGCTCTATCGCAAAGCCGCGGCCATTCAATGCTGAACGATCCAGACGGTGTAAGAAAGCAACGCCGACGTCATCGCGACACGAACTTGCCGTCGCAATGCTTGTCTCCTTAGATTCCTCCCCCCTTCTCGATCAGCATGGCGCCCGTTTGTTAGAGAAGGCCCAATCGTCGCTGAGGAGCGCAAGCGGCCCGCGGTGCATGATGCAAGCGGATCCAGCGCGCCTTCGTCATTTCAGCGTTTCCTCCTTCTACTCCTATTCCAACTCCTATTCACTTTTCCTCATCGCACCTCCTCGTACTCTTCCTCCTCCTCCTCAACCTCCTCCTCCTCATCATCATCATTCTCCTCCTCAACCTCCTCCTCTTCCTCCTGTCCTTCCGAGGGAAAAGATGGAGAAAGCGGTGAAGCATGAGGATGATGTGGGCTAGGAGGATCAGAAGGAGGAGATAGAGGAGCATAGTGTTTTTTTCACGTCCTTTTCGGGGGGTGCAAGAACTCGATAGTTGTACCTCCCAGTGTCCGGTGACAGTTTTCCAGAGTGACGGTAGCTCAAGGTTGCTTAGCTCGCTGTGGCCAGTGGACTTCATGGGCTTTCACATCGTACCATTGCGCAGTAAAACCGACCGCCATCAGCATTATCACCATCTTCATCACCACCAGCAGGATGCCGCATTATCCCAGTAGACTTCCGATTGGCATTGGAAGACGAGGATGGCAAGATTGTGCGCACGGACAGGTATTAAGGTACGTTGCCAGCGCTGGGATGCCTCGTCGCCAATGAGAGGAGCCTTTCGTTTTCGGAAGCGCAGAGGTTGATCGGGCAGGACACGCGCCAGGGTCCTCTACAGGACGTCGTGTCGAATGGAAACCGCTGAAATGAAGACCACTTCAGGCTCCGGACGGCGGCTATGGCTTTCGGGCCGCTCCTCAGATTTTGGTCGTGGAGCCTATTCGATGCCGAGGCTCGCCGTGGCCAGAGAAGCCCGTCCGTTCCCTATGCAGCGTTCCTGAAGGCAGCACGGTAATTGCAGTTCTTCCCCATGTCTGCGCACGCGGTGGGACGCCATGTGACCCTGCACCCTGCGAGTGCAGGCGTACGTCTCACAGTCGTCGTAAAGTCAAGGGCGATTGCGGCGACATCGTCAAGCCGCAGTGATCGAGGCTGTTTCGGCAGTCATGCTGTAGGTGCGTCGCATCGGGTTCGATCACATGCGTCCTGCCAATTTCCAGCTCTATCTAGTGGCTTTCGGCCCATGCCGCTTCCGGGCCCGGGTCGTGGACAAGAGGTTCTCAGAGGCCGTTATGGTTCTCGTGGAAGGTTTCTTGGAGGCCTCTTTGGGATTTCTTGGGGGCCTCTCGGAGGCCTCTTCGGGGCCTCCTCGGGGCTTGGTGGCCGTTTTGGAACGATATAGTGGGCCTCTTGGGCAGCCTTAGACGTTCTGGAAAACCGAAAAGGCGACACTGCGAAAATCATTCGGCAACCGAAGTCTCTGCCAATGATCTCTTGGGCTTCTTGGGCTTCCTGGGCCAGCCTCCAAGGTGGCCCAAGAGGGCTCCAGGTCGGCCCTTTGCAGCCGTCGTGGGGCATGTTAGAGGTTTGCAGTCCGAACTGCCCTCCCGAGGCCTCTGGAAAAGTCATGCGGGGATCCCCGAAGGCGCGCGAGGGCGCCCACGAGCGGCGGGGAATTCCGAATATCAGGGGCTGGGGCCCTTGAATAGCACCTACCAATCACAATGTACAGAACTCGAAGGAACTTGAGGACGCTTCACTTCGTGCCGTGCGGCACGGTGGTGGATTGTTGTTGCTGGTGTTGCTATTGTGCCTTGCTGTTGTGTGATGTGGTCTGGATATGTGCACAATCTTCTCTTCGCCATCACTGCATCGTGATCAGGCCCCCGTGCCTGTCATCAAACGATGTTTCCTGCGCTGGGCGAGTGGGGTTCCGTGTGATCCACTCGTGCATTGGTCCCATGGTGCCAGCCGTTGAGAAGTTTGAGCCCGTAGTGTAGATTCGCATGTTGTCGTTGTCGTCGTCTTCTCTTGTCGTCGTGGTAAGAATACGACCCGTGATGGTGCCATTACCGTCATCAACATCACATCGTCCATGTTGGCGGTTGCATCGTTGTTTCGCGGTGCGTTCAGCATCATGAGTAATCGTCTTATGGGGGTATTCTGCGAGACGCCTTTGGCCTTGGGGCCCGGGTGCTCCAGCCAAATTTGTTCTCCGCCATCTCCCCCACACTCTCACAATCCCTCCTCCGCCCTCGCTCCTTCTCCAAGAGTCGGTCTGTAATCCCTCACCTGAACCTCATCTCCCCAACTCCCCCACTCCTGATATCTTTGTTTCTGCTCGTGCCAGCTCTCTAGTCCCCCCTTTGCAGTTCTTACTTCCCTTGCGTTCTAGTATCATCCTCCCTCTCGTCATGCTTCTCCGTCCACGCCTTTCCAGTCCTCTCTCCGCCTCCCTACCCTTTTCTGTTTGTCATACGACATCTCTCTCCCTCGCCTCCCTACTCTCCGCCTCCCCGCTCTCCTCCGCCCATCCCCGACAGATGCTCCATCTGAACACTGGCCTCCTCTCTACCCCGACACTGCGCGCGCGTGATCCCACTCCTGTTGGCGCGTTGCTGCTCATGCGAATTGCCCCCCACCCCAGAGGCTGGGGCCCTTGGACTGCAAGGCAAGAGCTCCCGACCCGCCCCGCACACCCTGCACGTGGCGGCCGCCGGGCCCAGAGTGTGCCCCGTGCTCCCCGGGGGCCCTGGCTCGTGTCCTCGACGGACGACGGCTGCGTGCCGCGGCCGCGGGGCCACAAGCGTGCGCCAGTGCTCCTTGGGGATCCCGCCTCGCGTTCTCTGGTGGGGATCGCGCGAAGCAAAACCATTGAGGAGGAGGGGGAGGAGGAGGAGGAGGAGGAGGAGGCACTTGTTCCGTTTGTTCGACGAGAGCGTTCCCGGCCAGCCACGCATGGTGTCCAACGCTGCAGCAGTGGCCACATCTCAGCATCGGCGCTCTGCACCCGCCGTTCAGGAGAGGCTCTCCACACATCGCGGGGCCGCTTGCCTGGGTCCGATTGCTTCCTCGTCGCCGCCTTCCTTCTTCCCCCTCATCCAGCTTCCGCTGATCCTGATGTTTCTATTCCTGTTACTCCTTTTGCTCCTGCTGCTGCTGATCCTCATCCTCATCCGTCCTCATCCTCCTCCTTGTCCTTCTGCTCATCCTTTTGATCATTCGCCATTTTCTCCTGCTTCTAATGTACGAAGCCCCCCTGTCTGATTGCGGATCACACACGATGGGGTCGTGTGGGAGATCAAGGTCTCCAGGACCAGGACACCCCACAGACACAACATACGCGGGCTCATGTCTGTAGTCCTATTCCGGGCTATGTGCGATTTTCTTTTGCCCAGCGTGTGCGAGAATGTGCGCGGCGTGTGCTTTGCATGTACGTTTGCTCTTTTTGCCAAACGGCATACAATTGCCAATCGACGTGCGCACAGATTGCCAATCAGGCTTATGATGTTCCAACCTGCTTTAGCCTTGATCACCAGAGAGAAGTTCGAGCACCAAGAAAATACCGAAACTTGAGGGCTTTCACGTGTGGGGCCCTTGGAGGCGATACTCGTTCGACACCGTTACGGTACTATTCTGGGTGCTCGAAGTCATTTCTGGGATGGGGCCCTCAAGTACGATGGGAGCAACCGAAAATCAGGCAAGCTCTCGTTCTGATCTTTCTCCTAGGCTGTCACTTGTGATGTTGCGGGCATGTGCGCCGCATGGAGGGGGGGCGGCTTCGACGGTCGCCCCAAGCTGTGCTGCTCGCTCCCGCCTTGCCTCGCGACTGGCACAGAGGTCCACCTCACATGTCGGGGGTGTGCGGAAGGGGGAGGGGGGACGAGGAAGAGGAGGAGGAGGAGGAGGAGGAGGAGGAGGAGGAGGAGGGAGAGGAGGAGGAGGAGCAGGAGGAGGAGGAGGACGGCGACGAGCAGGACGAGAACGAGTCGGATGAGGAGGAGGACGAGGAGGACAATCAGGAGGAGGAGAAGGAGGACAATGAGGAACAAGGCCGTTTGCAGTTGCCCAGGGTTAAGCCCCAGTTGAGCCCTGGGGTGCTGGAAAACGTTTTGTTAACCGGTCAGGATGGCTCCAGGAGCCTACGGAGGCCGCGGTCTTCCCCTCCGTCCCCGGGGCCAGGGTTTTCCCAAACCAAACGGGTCTTCCCAAACCAACTGCTGCGGAATCAGACCGCCGGTTCTTCTCAAACCAAGCCCAGGTCTTCCCAAACCAAACGGGTCTTCCCAAACCAACGCCCCCGGGTCTTCCCAAACCAACCGGGTCTTCCCAAACCAACTCTCCGGGTCTTCCCAAACCAAGCGGGTCTTCCCAAACCAACATCCGGGTCTTCCCGATACAACCGGGTCTTCCCAAACCAACTCCCCGGGTCTTCCCAAACCAACCTCCGGGTCTTCCCGAACCAACCGGGTCTTCCCAAACCAACTCCCCGGGTCTTCCCAAACCAAACGGGTCTTCCCAAACCAACCGGGTCTTCCCAAACCAACTTCCGGGTCGTCCCAGACCAACCGGGTCTTCCCAAACCAATTCTCCGGGTTTTCCCAAACCAACCGGGTCTTCCCAAACCAACTCTCTGGGTTTTCCCAAACAAAACGGGTCTCTCCAAATTGGCCACGTCGACGGGGCAGCGACCGCAGCCTTGGAGATAGTTTATCGGGTTGGCCTGTCAATTTGGTGATCCGCAATCGTTGGCTCTAATCAGCCGCGCGAGCCGGTAGTTCGCCCCTCTATGGAGTGGGCGAGGGCTGCCGCTGCTGGCGCCGGCGGCTTGGCGCACCTGGGCAGCCTGTGGTACGGCCAGCGCTGTACCTGCCAGGTCGAGTTGGGAGACGGTTTCTCGGTGGACCGTGAGCTGCTGCGCCTGCTGGAAGGTCAGCTGCAGAGGTGCGGGCCCGCCAACCTCACGGTGCCGGCGCCGTGCCCGCCCCCAGAGTGCTCGGGCTATCCTGGGCTGGTGGTCCTCCTGGTGGCGGTGCTGGCTTTCCTGGCAGGGTTCGCCGCTGCTGCCTCCTGTGGCTGGTGGTGCTTGAGTCGCTCGGAGTGTCGTGCCACGTCGGAGAGCGCAGAGATTCCGTACCTGACCGACGGAAGCGATGTCAGAGCATCTTCGTCAGGGCCAGCGAGTGCTCGTCTCTTACGACGAGGACCCGCGCGAGCTGTTGTGGCATGAGCGCCTTCTGTGCGCGCACGTGCACGAAGGCTCCTGGGTGGTGACCACACCCGAGAGAGACATGTATCTCGAGGACCTCCAGGAGGGCGTCGAGAGCCTCGTCTTGCTGGGCCCCATGGGAGGCTTGCCGATCGGGTGGAACCGTGGGCCTACACACCTGTTCAGGAACTCGTCCCAGGGCCCGCTGCGCCGCGAGGAGAGTTTGAGGCTCCAGGCGGATGGCGCGGAGCTGGCCCTGCAGGAGAGGCGCGAGCTGGGCCTGGCCGCTTCTCCGCCGCTGCCGCCGCCCACGGGCGCGCCCCCGTCGCTGGCGCTGGAGGGTGTGCCGAGCTCGGGCGATGGAGGATGGCGGTACTCGGAGAACCGCGGCGGTGCTCGGCTGGGCGAGCGCGTCGGCGACGCGGAGCTGGAGGCAGGCTGCCATCGAGGAGATCGTGGAGTGGCCCTGGTTGGCGACGTCTTCGTGGCCTGCTCGTTCTTCCGGCCGGGCCAGCAGATGCCTACGCCGAGGGAAGTGGAGGCGGCGGAGCCTGTGTCCAACGAGCTGCGCACCCTCCCGGTGAAGTACGAGACGGCCCGCCAGCGGCATCGCTCCTACAAGGAGGCCGCATCGCTGACCACGACGACGGCGTTCGAGGACTGGCCGATCAGCGGCCCGAGGACGGCGGAGTGGCTGGCGCGGGAGATCGCTCGGCAGGAGCTCACGCCTGTGCGCCGCCACTCCTGGTGGAGACAGCTGCTGGGTCTGGGCCCCAGCGATTGGGGCGTCGGAGAGCACGAGTCCTTGAGCCGCCTCTTCGAGCACGCGCTGACGTACGACCAGCTGAACTTCGGCGAGTTGGCGTCGCTGGAGCTTGCAGGCAGGCGATACCAGCTGCTCGAGGAGAGGTACGCCCGCATGCTGATTGCGGCGACGGCGGGTGGCGACAGCGGCCACCTCGACAACGACAGGCTGTTCATGGGCGAGGAGGGCCGCCATGGCCGCGCGCTTGTGGCGCCTGCCCTAGAGTCCTGGATCTCCCAGAAGCTGTCCGAGGAGAGCGCGGTGCTCAAGGAGCGCCGCAAGGCGAAGGAGGAGCGGCAGCTGGCCCGCTCGACCGATGTTGCTCCAGGTGTTGGAAGCGGCAAGAACGACGAGAAGCCCCCCAGGCGCCCGAAGAAGAATGGTGGCGGGCCGGGGGGTGACGCTGCTTGAGCTGCCACGGGCGGCGGAGGCCCCCGGCCGCCGCCCATTCTGCAGAGGGGAGGGCTGCCCGCTTGAGGAGGATGGCGGGCCGCCTCGGTGTTGCAGGTGAAGGCCTAGACTGGGCTCGGGACTTGCTGCCGCTGCCATCTGGGCGCTGCCTGGCTGATCTCCTGGAGGGACTCTCGCCAGCTGGCCTGGGTGTGTCGCGCTGTGCGGATCGGCGGCGCTCGCGCCGACGGGCTGCCGAGGCGCGGCTGCAGGACGGCATCTCGACGCTCAACGTGCTGGGCGGCCGCGGCGAGGAGTGGGGCCCCAAAGTGCTGCCAGGTGCTATCCAGCGCCAGGCTGTGGCCAGCTTGGCCCGGGCCTACTTTGCCGTGCCGCCGCCGCCCGACGACCTCACCGCCTCGGGAGCGTGGTCTGCGCTTCGGGGCTGCGGTTCCGGCTACGCCGTTGCAGGTGTTGTCGCCGGAGAGTTCGCGACCTACCAGCGCGGCAGGCTTGCCCTGCCAGCGGTCGGTAACCAGGCGATCGACCTCGTCAGTTGCCTGCCCGACCACTACCAGAAGTTGCTGGAGGATAGTGGCCGCGCTATTCGGCTACCAGCAGTGTGTACAAAGGACGTGGCGGCAGAGGTGGACGAGTTGGGCCCTGCGATGGATCCCATCCTGGCTAGGTCGCCCAGCAAGTACGCCGAGTTTTTGATGTCTGCATACGAATCGGGTCTCGTCGAGCCGGCGACTGAGGTTCGCAGTTTTGTGGGAGTCTTCTTCGTGCGTAAGAAGGACGGCTCGTTGTGGATCATCTTCGATCCTCGAAGGACGAACTCGCAGTTTGTACCTCCAGATAGTGTTGCCCTGGCTTCTCCTGAGGCCCTGGGTGATCTTGAGTTGCCTGCAGGCCAGGGGTTGTGGGTCAGTGAGGGCGATGTCGAGAACTGCTACTACCAGTTCCTGCTGCCTGACGACCTGAGGGCCGACTTCGTGCTACCTGCGGTGCCTCGGAAGCTGCTGCCGCGGAGTCTGCGCCGCTTGCTTCCGCCCGGGAACGACTTCGTTCACTTCCAGGTGCCGATGGGCTGGAGCTGGGCCGTGGCGCTGGTGCAGGCGGCGAACGGGGAGCTGCTGCGAGCTGGTCCGCAAGGGGCCCGCCGCTGGATCTGCAATCGCCGCTGCGCACCTGCTGTCGCCGGGCGGGAGCCCGCTGCTCTTCTGTACATCGACAACTTCGCCTCGCTGGGGACTGTAAAGGAGGCAGTCCAGCTCGACGGCGACTCGATGGAGAGGCAGCTGAGGGGACGCGGTCTGACTACTCACGACATCTCGGGGCCGCATGTTGACGTGGACCTGCTCGGGTTCCACATCGACGGGGTGCAGGGGGCGATTCACATCGCGCCCAAGCGGTTCTGGAGGCTGGCCATGAGTCTGGACTATATCCTGAAGCACCCCCTCCTGACGGGAGCCGAGCTAGAGCGGCTGATCGGGCATTTGACGTACGTGCTGCTGCTACGACGCGAGGTGCTCAGCTTGCTCAGTGCATCCTACGTCTTTGTCAGCAAGTGCTACACTCGGCGCGTGCGGCTCTGGCATTCGGTGCGCCGAGAGCTGACCTGGATGCGAGCGCTGCTGCCGCTGGTGTGGGCGGATCTGCGCGGCGCCTGGGCCCCCAGCGTGACGGCCGCGGACGCCTCGTTGACGGGCTTGGGCGCGGTGGAGCGCTCCGCGGACCCACACGACGTCGGGCGCATCGGCCGAGTTAGAGAGCGCTGGAGGTTCAAGGAGAGCGAGCTGTGGCCGAAGGCTCGCGTGCACGCGCCTTGCGTGAAGGCGCCGTCGGCGACTCCCCGTTCCCCGACGTGCCGTCGGACTTCTGCAAGGCCGC